ACCCAGCAGAGCACTGGCCCCTGGATCAGATGATGTTAAAGAGAGAACATCATCCTCTGGCAGCCGTTTCTCGCGAGAGGGAAAGCCCCTCTTTAAACTCATCGGCCAGGTCCACCTGAGATCCCCACGAGCTCATTCTCCTCCGTGCCTCAGCAGCGGCGGGTCCTGAACCGCGGAAAGCAGATGGCTGCCCCTCTTTACTCGAAAAGAGAGACAAACGAGAACGGTTGGAAAAAATGGAAAAAACTCGCAATGCACACAGATTGCCCCCTCGAGGACATCGCGCGCGTGCTCTTCAACAACACATGATGCACACACCTTCTAAATGCTCTGCTAGTGCTCGCCATAATAAATAGAGATAGCTCTTACTTTTTCCTTGGAAATGCATGCTTCAAACAGAACAGTCAATGAAGACGAAGAAGAGAATGATGTGTGCTCCAGGCGCCTATTTATACTATAGTCGCACCGGTAGTGACGTCATGGCTGTCGCCGGCCAACGAGTTGGTGTTTTTTCAATGTATGCTTCAGACACGGGTCACGACGAGGCGTCCCCCATAGCGGCCCCTAGAGGACGCAGTTCGAAGTTCCCATGAAGGGGAACAGGAAATGTACTTTTGGTACTTAAGTACTTTTAAAAGCAAGTACTTAGGTACTTTTACTTAAGTAAAAATCTGTCTTTACAACTTTTACTTGTAATTGAGTAATATTTGACCAGCAGTATCTGTACTTTCACTCAAGTAATGGAATTGAGTACTTTGTCCGCCTCTGCTCGAAATCCATTAACATATTTATTGACATGTCACTTAAGACTTACTGATTTAAAAATACAATTAAACTTCATTTGAAGTATTTCTTTATTGCACAATACACTTTTTAATATTATGCCTAAAATGTGTTTTAATATCACTATTAGGTATGATCTTTGTATAATAATCAGTCTTTAAATGCAACGTATTTAAAGTGTACCTAAAGTATACTTGCAATAGTTCCACTTTAGCACAATCAAATATATTTACAGTGAGTATAGTTGGACCTAAGCCCTACTTACACACAAGTAAAGTGCATTAAGTACAAAGTTAGTTTTTCCAATTTAGCAGACTTTACACCTGTTTAGTATACCAAAAGTACGATTGCAAGGTATTTTTATTAAGCACATAAATATGTGCATGTATTTGTAGTATACTTTCAAATACATTTGAGTATTTTTTTCACTAGGGGAGGAAAGAATCTTTACAAATGAGATCCTACAGTTGTACAAGACTCTCATAATGTGTTACTTTTCTATCAGATTCTAATTGATTCTCTTTTTTTCAGTCTGTTCTCAGTTCTCAAGAGGAGTTTATGCTATTTTTGGATTTTATGACAAGAAGTCAATGAACACAATAACGTCGTTCTGTGGGACACTGCACGTCTCCTTCATCACACCAAGCTTTCCCTTGGACGGAAATCAGCAGTTTATCATTCAGATGCGACCAGACATCAAAGGGCCTCTCCTGAGCCTCATTGAGTACTACAAATGGGACAAGTTTGCCTACCTGTACGACAGTGACCGAGGTAAGGCACTGCACTGCATTATTCAACACCATATAAACATGACGTGTGTGAGCTGAGGAAAAATAACAGATTTACTTTTAAATAGAATTCCATTTGTGTTTTGCCAGTGGGAAGGCTTTCAGGCACATCAGCTGGTTTGTTGTTTAGCAAATCATCACTTTTGGATGCAGCCATTCTTTTAGCATTTTAAAATAAATATGAGTAAAGTGTCTCGTCGCTTAAAGGTGGTGCATGGGGCGTCGTTAACATGCAGGGCTTGGGACAGTATCATAATTCACACAGTATCTTGATGCTATATAAAAGCAATTGACAATATTTGATGCTACAGATAAGATTATGGCTGTTGCATTCAGAATATTCATAATTAAGGATATTAGCCTGTCAAAAGGCATATCTACAATGAAACGGAGGTTTATTTTGCACCTTGAGCTGGAGTGAGCAGGATCCAGCATTATTAAAGGTTCATTTTGTGTTTGTTGGGCCCACTGGCCTTTGTTTTGCAGCTTTCTATTTGCCTCAAGCTCGTCTGTGTCTCTAACTCTCCATTTTTTTTTTTTTAATCTCCCTTTCTGTCTTACTCATTTTCCTCTATGTCACCCTCCAATTCTCGCTTTCTTTGATGGTTGCGGAGGTTGAGAGCTGTGTGGCACAAATGAGAATGGTTGACGTGAGTCTCTGAGGACCGCGGTGTCGTAAATGTCTGTAATGGCGATGTTTTATTAACTGTGAGGTTGCTACTTTAACTTTCCTGTGATGAAGATCAGTATGCACACAATGTGTCATTTATCATTTATGAGTATTAATTATGTATACATAACCCAATGTTCCCAAAAATCCTCTTTGTGTGTGCATTTGCTTGTATGCCTTTGTGACTGTTTGCTTTTGTTGAGGGGTGAATCTGCATGATTTATTTTAGACTTGTGTGGTTGCGTATGTGGGATGAAATATGCACCTTGATGCACACGTTTAAATCACTTGTCATACTAATTAGGTCGATCGATGCTGCATTCCCATGGTAACCATTGTGCTGTGTGTGTTATTAATGTGTCGGTGTTACTGTGTGAGAGCAGCAGCACAGCGCCTGTGGTCATGACACATTTCACTGGTGAGATCAGTCATAAATGCAAACTTAATGCCACATCCAGCATTCCTCCAGTCCTCCATTTGTGCAAATAATGTGGAGGATTTAAGGAATGTAATAGGATGTGCACTGCATCTTTTAGGATACGCAATATACTGTATATTTACAGATGATTTGCATGCTGTGGTTGATTCAGTTCAATGTTCAATAAAATGTGAAATGTATCCGTTTTGAAACAAGTTCAGTTTCAGCTTAAGCCGTTCTCCAAAAAGCAGCAATGTCATTATTAAACAACACACTTACTCAGATATCACTACTTTCAGTCGTGTCTAAATTGAATATACTTAAAAATTACTCGATTGAAACAATGACTTGTGAGTAAGCCGTTCTTTTGTGGTACATCCATGTCTGCAACCTTCATTACACTTGTGGTATTTACCAAAGATTTGTTGAATAATAGTCTAAAAGAAGGTAATTATGAATAATTTCTTTTTTAGATTATTTATTTATTTATTTAAATTGTTCAAATTTTAAAGCAAAAAAAAAGCATAAACTTAAAGATGTTTCTTGTGCTAAACAAGGCTGCATTTATTTGATCAAAAACACAATAATAACTGTAATATTATGAAATATTATTACAATTTAAAATAATTGTTTTCTTTTTTCACATATTTGAAAATGTAATTTATTCCAATTTATTATAAATTGTGCATGTTTTAGTAAAGAAATGGCTGATGGGTTAATAAAGAGTTTATTCAAGCCCGATATTGAGCACTTAAGCAGGAAACAAATTCATAATTTATAGTCCCAGAAAAGCTTTTATTTTTAAACCACAGAGCGTGAAAGTGAAAGTGGCTGGTGGCCAGGGTGGTAGTTGTTGTGCTTATATAAATTATGTGAAGGTTCCAGTTTAGTGTTTTGTTCAGTGGCGTGGATGTGAAGACGTGATGGATTCTTACAGCCTGCTGGGTGCTTTCTGCATGACAGTTGATCGCTTTAGATACTTTCTTCATCACTCACCTGGTGGAGATGCCAGCATCCTTTTACACTGGATGCTGATAAGCAGTGAAGTGACTGTAGCTGAGGGTCATTTCGTCACCCTTCCTGCTGCCCATGTGGATCTGGCGTGTCGCTGTCCGTGGTCCTGGAACGCATGAGACAGGATGACCCAGAGCGTCGCTGACACACTCCTATAGCCTCACAAACGCTCTCTCATGCTTGTTAGGTGGTGTGTTGTCATCAGGGACAGGTGCATGACAAAAGAGAAATATGCTTACAACTGGAAAACATGCTAGAGCACCAGAATTCCTGTTTCAGCAGGTCATTAAATGTAAAGTTTTCTGGATTGTGCATTTCTTTTTTGTTTGAGCTTGAAGGACAGTCACTGCTCCCCATCTCCTTTGACTTTATCTTTTCTTGGTGATTTGCTTTGTTTTAAAGTGTCTTATGTAATCAATAAAGGATTGGCTGTGCACAAAGACTAATTCTCCCTCACTGTGAGTCTCATCCATAACCCCTGCATAATTGGGATGGCTAATTAAATCAGTGTAACACCTCTGAAGATCTACAAAGATCCAGCTGCAATGTGCTTATGGAGAGACAATGAGATTATGTAATACAGCTGACATCACAGTTCAATAAGGGAGACCCCATACTGGGAAACCAATAGACAGATATTGAACCACAACCATTATTCATTAAGGTTTCACTCATGTTTATGCAACAAGATTATGGAGCACTACGTAAAATAATATAATACATGCTACAAATACACAACTGTTTAAAAGTTTGAACCCAGTAAAAAAATATATATTTTAATGAGCAAGTATGCACACTGCTGAAAACAACAGTAAAGGTACCAACCAACAAACTAATCAACAAACTAATTAACGCTGTTCTTTTGAACTGTATATTTATTAAAGAATATTGGGGGGAAAAGTATCACTGTTTCCACAAAAAAAAATAAAAAATTAAGCAGCACACCTGTTTTCAACACTGATATTTTTATTAATTATTATTATTATTTATTTATTTGAGCAGCAAATCAGCATATTATAATGATTTCTGAAGGATCATGTGAAACTAAGACTAGAGTAATGGCTGCTAAAAATTCAGCTTTGTCATCAAGGAATAAATTACATTTTAAAATAATTAAAATAGAAAACAGTTATTTTAAATTGTAAATATTTCACAATATTAGGTTTTATACAGTATTTTTGATCAAATCAAATAAATGCAACCCTGTTTAGAATAAGATACTTATTTAAAAAGCATACAAATATTACAGACCAAAACTTTTGAATGGTAGTGTCGATGTCGAATGCATTATTATTGTTGTTGCTGCTGTTGTTGTTGTTTTCATTTTGCCCAAATAAGTGTTACAATGTTAAATCTTTTTACATTTCAAATGGCTATTTTTACATATCATGGTTAAGGAAATTGCTAGCAAATTAAATAAATTCCTATTGAGTCAGGATTTGCCTGCAAATTGTTAAATCTTCAGCTTCTATGTCACCCATCAGGCATTCATTCATAAGTGATTTTGGAGTGTTCTGGAACAATAATGAACAGAAGTGCTATCATCTCATTTGCTCCTTAGGTTTTAAGTGACCCAAATCAGGATTTCCTAGATTGAGAAGTGATTTTGTAGTGTGCTGGAGTAACAATGCATTTCAATGCTATCATCTCATTTGTTAGCACTAATGGCCCTTACTAACGAGCTTTTAATCACTTATCTCCAAGAATAGCTGTAAGCCTTGATCCTCATGTCTCTAAGCCACACATTTAACAAAGGTTAAACACAGGAGCCCACTGTGCCTCGCACTCCCTGAGATGTTATCCACGATTAATGTACTCTGTCGAAACACGACACACTGTTTTCATATTCTTACAAATCAAATACACATATCTAGCATACAAACACTCACTCACATTGACTTAATTAAAGTGCCCCTATTATGGGTAAGGAAAGGTTCATATTTTGGTTTTGGGTGTCCCCAACAACAGGCTGACATGCATGCAAGGCCAAAAAACGCTTTCATTGTCTTATAATATGCATTTATTTTTATCTTACTTGCTCAACGACTCCCAAACGATTCGCTCAACGATTCATTTTTCCAAACCCCTCCTTTGCGTGCCGCTAATCTGCAGTGATTGGTCGATTGGATCATGCCTGTAATGCCTGATAAAGCAGCGTTTGTGAGCACAGTGCTGCTTTGTGTACAGCGTTACCGGGAAAACAGCTATTCTTACTGCTCTAAAAGCGGCACCTATAGTGGCAAAGAATGAATTTGCATTTTCATTCAGACCAACGCGAAAAGACCAACAAGTGGGCGGGATATATGCTAATGTTTCATGTTCACGTCAACATTGAAACGGCTTGGGATTCGTTTTAAAAACGACTCGTTTCAATGATTCAGAGACGACTCTTTCTTTTGAGAGACTATAGCATTATACACGGTGCATTTTCAGATTTGAAATTTTGCTGGATGTTTTCATTCACTTAGAATGAAAGGTAATTTTCAAAAAAACATAATAGGGGCACTTTAATAAGTGCTGTAGCTGTGATGCCTTCAGCTTAATTGATTGTTTTAGTTATTTACCTCCCCTGTGACTGACAGAAATGAAAATGCCAATTTTAGAGTCGTATCATCTGCATCAAATCCTCCATGGAGTATTATTAAGGATGTAACTGGCAACCAGTGATTCAAAATGGTGTGAAGTGCTGTAAATCATGCAAAGAAATTGAAACAATTACATAAGAAAATAACATATCATGAGATGCTTAGCCCAAACGGTCCAAAAGGTGAAGCATCTGAAATGTTGCATATTTCTTTGCAGAGGTAACTTTATTAAAAGTATTTTTAAGCAGTCTAGTTTGACTTTTGTAGCTTTTATTGCTTCCTAGCATCTTCCAAAA